TAACACTGTATTTATATTTACAACTTTTACAGTGATTGTAATTCTAAAATTAACTAATAAAACTAAAGTCAGATTTTTAATTAACGATGGAGAAAATTAACTATATATTCAGTTTTTAATTATAATAAATAGCTTTTTTTCTATTTTTTTTTCGAAATAATTATTTTTTGTTTTATTTTTAAAATTTTTTTTACGTTTTAACCACATTATACATAGAATGATGACCAAAAAAGTTGGAAATCGCTAAGGAGTGTGTAACAACTCACCTATCGAATAGATGAGCCCTGAAAATGGAAGGTATTATAATGAGAAAAAGTGATACTGTATCCTTGTGGAGGCTGAGGTACACGAGGAGTAAGGAAATGCATGGTGTCAAGAATACGTGAGTGATAAAGGTAGAGAAGTAATTTCTATTGAAACAGACTTGAGTACAGATCTTGGTGGAAGTAGCAAATACTTAGAAGAGGAAAAAAATATCTAAGGACTGAAGAGGAGAAAGGTTCCTAGACAACATTAATTGGAATAGGGTGAATCGATCCTAAAAGACGGATGTAGATTTATTAGAAGAAACTGAGCTTGAAAAAGCGTTTACGCATGAAAGGGAAAAAGACTAAAAGTTCTTTATCAATAGTCAAAAAGTCACGAAAAAAAAGGACTGAGAAAGTGGTAACAGGTGATGAACTTTGGTATGATGGTAGCGACAAGATATCTCTTTTTTGTTAACAATAAGGAACGGGCATTGAAATGAGTCAATCAGAGCTATGACTGTTATACCAATGGAAGAAACAGGGCGGTAGTTTTGTTAGTGTACTGTGAAACTCAAAGACGGTCAAAATTAATTATATTTTCAAAAGAAAGTACTTTAATTATCGAAAGGAAAGAGCATTGTATTGATTCAATTTTTATTATCTTTGTTTTAAGTCTGTTCGGGAATTATATAAGTAAATTATATATTTCATCTTGTTTATTCTAATTCATAGAATTCAAAAATTGTATCTTTTTTGTGTTTTTTCACAACTGTTTTGTTTTTACAAAACCAGGGTTTAAATATATTGACCAATTAATGCAATTTTTTTAAAAAAATGACCAATTAAAACGACACTGTCGTTATTATACTATTCTTTCATTTTTATAGGCTTATTTCACCCAATGTAAATCTTTTGAGTTAAAAATATTGTTTGACTTTATAACAATTGTATAATACTTTGTAGTACATTTAATAATAAATTATTAATAACAATTATTGTATTCTATAAACATTGTTAATATATAAAGTCTGTCTAAAAATGTTGTCCGCTTGTAAAACGTTGTCCATTTGACAAAAAATTACACAAAATAAGTTTAAAAATATGGGAATTAGGAAAAAACGATCAAATCCCGGTAAAAATTATGAAACGATGTAAAGGAAGTGTTTCGAATTGTTTCCTGAAATATTCCAGTTGTGATAATCCAAAAATACCCGGACAACGTTTTCAGACTGACTATATTATATAATTTAAACCATTATTAAAATATCAATTATGATAATTATAATATTATTATTATAATGAGTTAAAATAATTCAAACTGGTTTTAAAAAACGTTAACTGGCCAAAAGTCTTTTTTTCTTTGGCAAAATGCACGAGACGCAAAAAATTGCGTTTTTTCTATAAATTAAAAACTGATAAAAAATTCTAAAAATAAATAATATTTTTAAATTCTTGTTGGCAAAATATAAACATCGATAAATGTTACATATTCATATTGTTGTTGTTCAATATACACAAGTCCAAATAATTTAATATACACGTGTTTTGAATTGATGATATATATGGTATTTGATCGATAAACAGGAAATTTAAAAATAATAACATGTAATATAAAGGCTTATTCAAGATTGTTTGGACTTTGGTTTTTTTCAATAAACAAATAAATCGTT